GAAATATGATAATGATCAAACAGAAATAGACGGGCACCGGCCCATCGGGATGCTTTTAATATCAGACAGATGCAAATGCCCACCTTACCTATACGGCTATACCCATCAAATGACGCCACTGTTGTTACCACTGAACGACTGAACATAATTAGAAACACGTCTCTTACAGGCTATGATTAATGTATCCAGTTTTGGATACGGCCGAAATCACTAGAAAAATATTAAGAACATTTAAGTAGGTATGAAAAATAAATACAAAATAATTTGAGTGAATAAAACTTTTTAAACTTATATTTTATAATTTTAAAGTATGGAATAAGATTGTTGTTACTACTTAGGTACTTGTATAGTTGTGTGTATGCATTATGATTTATGACAAAATATCACATAAAACATTTTTAGTTTTAAGTGGTTCTGAACAGTTTATTAGGTAGATACCTTCAGTCTTCAGTCTTCCTATAACGTCAAAATGTCGTTATAAGCACCTAATTTGTTTCAGTTATAAATTTCAGTATTTCACCATACATTTTTAATATTTTATTATTTGGTTTAACTACTAGCCTATGTGAATGTAACAGAATATTAATAGTTAAATTAAAAACATTTAAATTTTTTAATTTTTACCTATAGTCTATAGGTATTCATTATTAATTAATTTTAAATTTTAATAAAAATGTATTGAATATAATGATAGGTACTGCAAATAAACCACAGTATTGTTGTACTAATTAATAATTGATATATATGTATAAAAAATGTTTGATTATTGATATTTTATTATAGAGTTACATATTTTATTAACATGATAAAAATGTTCTAACTTCTATACTTAAATACAAAACATGATTGGTAATTACTTACGATGCTCTGTACATGTTTAATAACGTTTTGTACCACTTCAGAGCTTTTCGCTGTGCCATTTAAGTCGGATGTATATACCATGTTTTCATTCTGTCTTACATTATAGTAGTTCTGATCTTATGGCAATACACTTTGTGAGCCAAGTGTCCTGACACGTCGGCAAACGCATTGTAATCGCTACTGGATTTGCTGCAGTGGCGATACCTGCAATAGATGAACCTAAGTTTTCTGGCACCTGGTTCGAAAACTGCATAATGATCACCGTAGTTTTTACCCGATAGTAAGACAGCGCCACCAAGGAAGCCACATATTATAGATTTGACGTAATTGAACCATATACAATATACAAATTTGACATGAACAAACTAATGCGAGGATTAGACACCAGCTGCACGCAACAGTTATCGGTGCTAGTGTCAAGTGCGATCCACCGCTTACATATCCTCTACCCATTACTATTCAATTCTTTATCGTTATATTTCGTCTCCGATAGTCAATAATAATTTTAGCGTACTTCCGATTTCGAAGACCCATGTATTCCTTGTCCGTCATTATTATTTATTATCATCTTATAATCGTAGTTTTGTTGTTTTTGTGTTATATGCTTTTTGTTGCATAGTCACGCTTCTCAAAGATTTTTATATTCGTGTTGCAAGTTCAGAGCAAGCTTGCATTGCATCCTTACGAGAACACCAACTGCTAACAGATGTGAATAATATTGACCCTTGCCATAAATGTTACACAATAAGATGTGTGAAAAACGACGGAAGACCGTAACGGTGAATTTTTGCCTATATTCAGGTGCCCAAAAAAATGTTGTCAATTTGAATATCTTTTTAACTACATGTGGGTAAATATTTTTGAGATGCAAGTGAGACCACAAATTGCGTTTACCGAAAACAGGCTGGTAGATCGTGTGCTACACCAGAAACAAGCTGCAGGTAGATCGAACGCTAGCACCCAGTTATCAATCATCATGTGATCAAACTTGATATATTATGGATAATTTAACGACGTATTTTTTTTTCATAATCGTAATTCAAACAATTTTGTTTTGACCATTTCTTATTTGTCGATCGTACTATTTAGGATTTCTACGTCTAAAACAACTTTCATCAATTTACAGCGCATCAGTGCGTTTAACGGATGTTATATGCATTTGGATTCAAAMCAGTAAATCTCTGGGCTTCAGTAGCCATTTCATATTCTAAAGAAAGGTTGTGGTAAAATTACTAGGAGACAAAAGGAGAGCTAAAATAAATAAAAATATGTTTAACCCACGATTAAAGACATACTACTATACTAGTATAGGTATATATTTAATCGTAGTTTAAACTGAATGGAGTCTGTATAATAGTTAATAATCGTTTATTAATATATAATTATTGTAAAGTAAATAATATCAATGTAAATAATTTCATATCAATCAGAAAAAAACAAATTAAAAATAAATATGAATAACCAATTTCTTTTTAAATTCCTCACATTTTTTGTTTTACATAATGTTAAATATTGGTATACTATAGTATTTATAATCAATCGTAATAGGCATTATTTTGGTCTAGATACATCAACTATTACAAAAAATGATCCACTTAACAATTTATGATAAACAATATTTGTTTTCAATTGAAAAAGAGATGTTTATATTGGCACAGGATACAAAAATTTCAAAAATCAAAATTTAAATAAATTCATTAATAATGATAAAACTGAGTTGCATATGCTTTGAGGAACATCCTATCATCAACTAACATTTCAAATTAATAATCCTTTGTGATTTTACATTTATATTTTTAATGAGAACATAGTAAACACTAAAAAGTGTTTTAATATACAGGTGTAACAGATAGAACTGACTTTTGGACTAACTTTTTTTCACATTAATATTCTTTATTTATTTATTTTTTTGTTCATTAAGTGAACCTAAAACTACATGTTAAATACATTTTTTATGTTTTATTTTTATTTTTTAGTGCTGAAAAAAAAAATTAATTTAATAAAACATTTTTTGGATAAATTCAAAATAGCCTATTTGTGAATCTGATTATAAAAACAATTTTGATGGTAAAAAGATTTATCTAAGTCAAGTAATTTATTTTTAAGAATTTTTTTTGAAATTCAATATGTTTTTGGTTAAATTAAATTGGAGCGCAATAACTTTTTAAAAAATATGATTTTTGAGAATTTGCTGACATGAGTATATTTCTTAAATTATTTATTTATCATATAATATTAAAAAACTTTGTCATACATGAATTGGTATAATTTTTTTTTTGGTCTGTTGCATCCTGTTTATATATATTTTTTTTATTGTTCACATATTGTTAATTTTATTTTATTTAGATGTAAGATGCTTTAATTGTTGAGTCAATTTTTTATAAAGGCTAATAAAAAAAAAAATATTTTTATTTATAAATTACTAATACCTAATGGCTAACACATATGTTATATTATAGGTCATATAAAATTGAAATATGTTATGAAATCAATGTTTTCAATAATTTTTTTGTTTATATCATTTTAATGGCTCATATACATACTCTGTAGAGTGGTACATTATCCTCATAGATAAAATTTCATCTATTCTGTGTCACTATTAAGGTAGAATAGATGGTAGATAATATAATATAGTAAATAATAATATAAAACGTGTAAAACTAAAATCATATAAACTATGGACATAAACAATAGTAATACTATAATATAAAATTTTTTTATATATTTCAATAGGAAGTTTTCATCAATTTTTTTGACCTCAGTATCAAAAAAATACTAACTCTCAAGAAAATTAAAAAAAAGTTCCAACTAATTATCAGAACCAGACAGTCAGGATAAAATTGCCATAATACTTCAGGTCTGGAAATTATTTGGGAGACTAGAAGAAAATGTGAACAAAAAAATGGGTTTTTTTAAAATTAATCAGACCATAAATTTTAAAGCATGCAAATTTCACATAATTTACACAGATTTATAATTAAAGCAGTTCCTAACTGGGTTTCCACTCAACGGGAAATGCTGAAACATCAGTGTTTGCTCCAATAGTAGATCGGTAAGACTGGTCCAACATAGATAAGTCGTCTTCGGTGGTCWTTCGCATTACACTGGAAGGCATTGGATCTATTTTCGTCTCTACCCCACCAGTGTTGCGAACATTATCCACATTATCACCGTCATTGTTACCACCACTAATTGCCACCGAACACTTGTGATTCTTCATGCTCTTGTAGAAAGAAAATGTGCGGAAGCACTCTGTGCACGTGTACCGTTTCTCACCTGTGTGTGTCCTAATGTGTTCTGATAGCCCATCTCGCCGGGCAAATGCCTTGGTGCACAAATGGCACAGGAATGGTTTTTCACCCGAGTGGGTACGAGCATGCTGGACCAGCTGATACCGAGCCAGAAACGCCTTGTTGCACACCTCACACACGTAGTTCTTGGATGCAAAGTGTATCTTCTGGTGGTCAACCAACCGTACCTTGATCTTAAACGTCTTGCCACACACATCACACACAAACGGCTTGTCCGAGTTGTGTGTCTGCCTATGTATATATATAGAACTATGGCTGGAGCCCGTGTACCCGCACACGTTGCACTTAAATAGTGCCTCTTGCTGGTGGGTGCGTTTGTGAGACGTGAGCCCCAACTTGGATGCGTAAGAGTTGCCACAAAGATCGCATACAAATGGCTTCTCGCCAGTGTGTATGCGAACGTGTGACACAAGTGCCGCGTTACTGGCCGTAGTCAAGCCACAATGTGTACATGTGAATACACCACTGTGCTTGCGCATGTGTGTACGCAGCGTATGCTTAGACTTGCATCGCACGTTGCACACATCACAGCTGAATGCCTTTTCGGCATGGAACGCACTCTGGTGGATCTGTAGCCGACTGTCCGTCAGGAACAGTTTGCCACAAGTGGGGCAGCTGAACTCTTTGGGCATGTTGTCATGGGCAGTACGGTCATGGTTGAACAGATCGCAGAACCGGGAATAGGTGACGTCACAGAATTCGCACGTGTATGTCTTCGACTGGAACCGCCTATAGTGTTCGCGATACTTTGCTCTTTTGTCCTCCACCGTATTAAGCTTTTTGATTTTACGCTTGATAGTGATTGCATACTTATTGTCCTTGTACTCGCTATCAACTGCAGTGTCATTGGCCAAAGTCATATTGCCACATAGTTCTCCCCCTTGGCTAAGAATGGTTGTCAATTCAGAACATTCCTATACAAAATGCATTGATTAAATATTCAAATCAAATGCTTATATTTTAAAAGTAAAAATAATATACTTTTTTAGATTCATTTACAGTGACTGATGCAGCGTGATGTTCTGTTGATGCATGTAAGTATAGACTGTATGTGTCAAGAAATCCCACCTGGCAAAATGAACACAAATGAGGCATAACATCTTTCTTCAATGCATGATTTCTGAGATGACGATAGAGACTGGTCGACCGGCTGAATTTACAAGAACATAGTCCACAACCAATTGTACAATCTTTAATTTTATCCTGGCAACATACAATTACAATTTCACATAACAAACAACCATAAAAAAATCATCTAAAAATAATGTAGTTTACTGTTTACTTAATAAAACTACAAAAAGCTTATTTCCCTACTTAGGTACTAAACATATTTTTTTAAATTACCAGAATTTGAATGGACCCATGAATATCTTGTTCAGTAGTTAAATGTTTTTGATAAATTGAATAGTTACAATATCCTTTATTGCATATTAGACAGTAATGTGGGGTGTTATTTTCTTCTAATTTATGGATCTCTATTAAATGGTCATACAAATTTTCTTTTTCAGTGAAATGTATAAAGCACATGCCACACTTGTAACGTTTTTTCTTAATAGATGTTTTAGTATTTGTGACTTCTGAGGCGGTTTCTTCTTTTTTAACAGTACTCAAATTGACTTCATGTTCATGTGTCTGAAAATATTAATGAGTTAATTATGTAAGCTATCAAATAATAACTGGCAGCAACTGCATTACTGTTAGTGAAATGGCCGACTTAGATTTTGACGAATCATTATCAGAGTCTTGATTGTTAAATTCGTTGTTGAACGTACTGTCATGAATATTTTCCTGTTCATCTGTTTCTAGTTGATCCTCGAGCTTAATAGAATTATCTACTAAATTTAATTTCTCTTCTTCCAACTGCTTGATACAGTTCTGAATACATTCATTTGAAGATATACATTTTTGTTTAAATTCTTCCCAATTTTCTAAATTACTCAAACAATTGACACACATATTAGCCGGCCCCAGATCACACTGTCGTATCTAAGGTTGAGAATATAATATTATTTATGTATTAAGATTACAAATGGTCTAAAAAATATATTTTACTTACTACTATTCCTACACACGACTCGATACGGTAAGAAAAATCGCAATCGAAAATCGGACGCAGTTCAGGCCCTTTATGCAGACAAAGCCTACAGAGTACATTAAAGTCCAGATCAAATATATTTTTCATTTTAACCATATGTTCACTAACACGTTCACGATTATGCGGATGAGAAAAATGTTATTTTTTTGTTTAGTTTAACATAATATTTATGAGTCAACGATAAAAAATTGTACACCAAAAATTTAAAGAATTAATAATAATTAGTTATTGTGTAATAGCAATTATTGTAAAAAATAGTGCAATTAGTGCATAGATATTTTGTTGTGTTATCATCTAGATTCTAGAATGTTTACTGTTAAGAATATTAGATTGTTTATTTATGTACTCAATATGCAATATTGGTATAAATAATTTGTCTTTTTTCGCAGAAGTTGGCGATGGAAGATAACAATAATTATTGTTGTATACGGCGTTGATTCGTAAATGGTGATAACTGATAACGAATTGCTAAATTTAAACATAGACTTTATACTCAGAGTATATAAGGTCTATGAATTTAAAGAAGATATTAATACGTAGAAATAGTAGAATCTTAATATGAACTACRTAATCGGTTAAAAAAACGACAAGGGTAAAAAGCGTCAAATGCATTTTAAAGATTAGGATTTTTTTGAGGAGCTAAATAATTTTTAAATAGGAATATTATTTATTTTTAAAAACATATAGAAATTCGAAAGGACGCTTTATTTTTTTGTACAACTTGGTAGGTAATCGTCGTGATTTTAAGTAACAGAATTTTATAGTGAAGAAAAATTGAAAGAGTTTTTCTAATAGTAAAAAGCATTCAGAATTCATTAATACAATATGGTAATAGGAAAAAAAATCTCCAGACTACAATATTACTCACAACCTCATTCACAAATATTTTTTAACGTTAATTAGTATCTATAATTACCTCATCATTGTTAATATTTAATTACAATTTACAAATACGTATATTATATTATATTATATTATATTATATTATATTATATTATATTATTATATTATATTATATTATTATATTATATCATTCAATAAATTAATATAGTTGTTAGAAAAACAAAGTTTTTATTAAAAAATTTAATTTTTAAATATTTTTTATCCTTATAATTTTAACTAAAAATATCTATAAAAWATACCGWGTWCCTAGTAGTCCCATAGAGTATTTTAGAGTAAAGATGTATAGATATTTTTTTAGATTTTTAGATTTTTTTCAACTACTTATGAGAAACCTTGTTTTAAATTTGCAATATTTAGCTATAGAAATTGAAGAGAAGTATTTTTAGAAAATTTTTGTAATTTTTGGTATTAATTATTTTGTTTTCCGTTATAATTACTTTAAAAATGTCAACAGTTTTTTTGTCTAATATATAAAGTCATAATCATAACGTTTGATTTATAAATAGCTCTAAAATATTTTAAATATTTTGAAAATGTTAGATATCATACATTCCTACATAGAAAACATCATATAAACATTTGTTGAAAATTTCAAAAAACTACAATCAATTATATCATTATATGTTTTTACTGTGAATAGGTGCCTACGTTTAATGATTATTGTTTGATAATTATTATATTATTATTAATTTAATTATTATTATCTATATTTTGTATTATTGACGCATAAATTATTCGAAATATTAAGTTTTTACTGTGAGTAGGTGTTAATTAACGTTTAAAAATATATGTTCAACCATTTTCATGAGGTTGTGAGTAATATTGCGGTCTGGGGATTTTTTTCCCGGAGATTTTTTTTCCGCAATTCATACGATATATATAATCTATTTTTATTATTGTTTAGTTATTTATATATATCTCATTATACAACTTGGTAATCGACTTATAACTAATATTTGAGATTTTCAAGTAAAATGCATTTGTTTACACGTTTTTACCTTTCGTCCTTTCCATAATTAATTTCTTTACAAATGCGTAATTGCCGTCATTTTACTTTTTACAATCTAGTGTCTACTAAATATATAACGGTTGAGCATCAATTCAACCATTACCAATCATAATTTTTTTCAACAAAAATCCAAAAATGGCAAAAATATAAATAGGTTACTTAATTAAATTCCAAATTCCGATTCTTTGGTCTTTGGGTTCGCGTCGTTCTCGAGTACCTGATGCGACCGCAGCGCAATCTGCGTGTGACTTAGAGTTTCAGTTAACACTGTTAACAGTTTTTACTGTTTTTAGTATTCCACTTTTTATAATTTCTTGTTGAGTTTCTAGTTTCCATTTTCAGCACACCAGCGTCCAGCAGTGGCATTTACCAGTTCACCACGTACTACTATGACACTATGTAGACTGTTACTTGTTAGGCTGAATAGGCTGATGGACTATTAGGCTATCTTAGTCCATAGTTTTCAGTTTTTCCTGTGATTGAGTGTTTTAATGTTTTCATTTTTTCAGTCTTCACCATAAGTACCATTCATCTAATTAATTTCTTCGTTTATCTATCACCACCTTTGGTCGTCGTTTTTGGTTCCGTTCGAAATTGTCAAAAACTAGCGACCGCACCGTAAAAGTGACCGCGTAATATTGTAAGTACTCTATTAATATTACAAAGTGTAAGTGTCATAATAACTTATTAGTTATTTTCCCGTGTTTGACGGTTTCGTCCCCGGAGCTTTTTCGACATCGTACTGTGGTAACGAGAAATTATTATTGTTACCTATAAGCACCAATTATTATCAAACATGGCTATGAAGAGGACCATTGACTTTCATCTGAACGATCAGCGGAAAAAAGCCAATCTATATAAAGCGATCAAAAACGATGTAAACAACCCATTAGTTATAGTAATAATTAGAATATTATAATGTTATATTTAAGTCTATCTGTATGGACATCATAATGTTACAGCTGAATGAATAATTCATGCCTGTTTCATTTTCACATAGACTAATAATATAATAATAATTATCTTGATCTATTTGAAATATAATTTTACTGTCAAAGTATGCTCGTCGTTCAATAGTTGCAATTTTTTTTTTTATCAATTCAAATGCAACTATCATTTTATTTAGCTTAAAAAAAAATCTAGGTTTGTACTCGAATAAAATTAAAAAAGATGTTCAATCTATATCAGCTATAATATGTAGGTACTTTTCAGTAGCTTCTGGCAACTACCATTAACCTAACTTTACGATTGTGGTTAATCTCGTAGGTAATTGTAATTCGATTATCCAGACATGTTAGTGTACATTTTTAATTATGTAAGTTTTCCAGTGAAAATGGTAGGTAATTATCACATCTGATAATTCACTTCATTCTGTAAGTATATTCAACTGCTAGATTTTTGTATGAAGTTGAAGTACAACATGTAGCTTCTTATGCCTGCCAGTTCAGTCAAGTATTATCAAATTGGGACTACCGACAACTGTTGGTGGTCGCAATGATCGAAAAGTACCAATATGTTTAATTCGTAATTTAAATAGGCAGGTTTCTAACTAAAATTAAAATGTAAAATATTTTTTGAATTGTATCTACATACCTACTTCTATTGCCCTGTATTTAGTTGGGCAATGACTCTAGTACCGATGAGGAGTCAATGAGCTTATCGCCTACTAACTTATTTCCTCTCAGTCATTATGCAAATGACCCTGAACAGTTAATACAACAATTATTTTCTGTTGTACGCGGTAAACGGCTTGCTCGACTTATACCACCAGAACTTAAGGTATAGTATTATTTAACAAATAATAACATTGTATCTTTTAATACAACTTTGTTCTTTTTAGGATCTGACATTTGAAGAGTTGAAAACAGATTGTTTAATTCAGTTATTGTGCATGTCAAAGAAGCGAGTGTTGGCTACATTGGAAGGTAATTTAATTTAATATATACTGAATTTCTAGATCGATTTTAAAAACCTTATTTAAAAAAAAAAAAAACATTATGTATGTATGCATGTAAAAGTTCTCCTCTGAGAGAAGTATCTCTTGTAGAAGTTGAGGCGTGTATTATTTTTTTTATTCTCCAGATTGTACCTAACTCCATATGCTTTGTGTTTTATATAAATGTTTTCAATTGGGTTTTCAAATAACATTTAAATCCACATTGTGGATTTTCCTATTCCTTATTTCCTAGTAAACCGAGGGGGTCTTTAAACTTTTTCTTAAAAATTTCAGCCAGGATGGTTATTTTTCTAAAGCCTAAATCTCACTAAGAAATAACAAGTAGTATAACATACATTTGTTGATATTTTATGTTATTGTTATTTATTGTACAATATATTATTTAATTTAGGCAAAGAAATGAATTCTTCATCAGATTCTGATGATTCTGTTGATGAAAATAAGAAACAAAATATATTAGAAGCAGAAAAAAAAAATGAAATTGGTCAAAAGAGACATCACAAAGAAAAACGCATAAAATCATCAAAAAAGAAAAAAAATGAAACAGATAGTGAAATTAAACAAGAAAAATCAAAAGAAAAAGAAGGAAAAACATTATTAGAAATTTTAGAATTAGAAATGAAAGCAAAGGCTATACGTGCTCTACTTAAGCCTAATCAAAAAGATAACAACACACAAATTGAAGAAGCAATTAAAAATGAAATAATTAAAGAAAAAATTGAAGAAAAAACTGATGACAACAAGAGCTGGAGTGAACGTTATGAACAAAGAGAAGATGTTAAAGATGTAGTTAAGACTAGCAAGTTGTGTACGAATATGAGACGCCGCATGCTTTTACACCAACAAAAAGTAAAATAAATCTCTAATCATTTATAAAAAATAAAAAATAATAATATTCTAAAATTAATTTTATGACATTTTAATTGAATTAATTTTTTGCAGATGTTGGCAGATAGAGCCAAATTGAAAGCTGCAGAAGCTGAAAGAACTAAATCTGGAGAACCAATAAAATCAAATTTGGAAGAAAAATTACAAAATAACCATTCTAAAAATGACGAAGAGAAATCAAATGTTACTACACTAGAGAAAACCCTCAATAAAACTGTTAAAGAGCCTTTAACAGGTGATTACGATACCACTCAGAACACCGATATTAAACTCCAAGACATAAACAAATTACATGAGGATGACATAAGTAAAATAAACAGAAACACTACCAGTTCAAATGAACGTAACAGCACAAATAACAATCAAGAATCGACTGACGACGATTCACAAAAAAGTACAGATTTTGAAAAAGTATTGAGTGAGTACACACAGAAGAATACAGATTTAGAAATAACTATTAACGAGTATTCTAAAAAAAACACTAATTTGGAGGAAGAAATAAATAAATGTTCAAAGAGAAATGATGACATGGAAAACACTATGAATAAATGTGCACAGAAAAATTCTGATATTGAATCAGCTATAAATAATTACTCAATGGAAAACAATGGTATTGATAAAAGTTTTGTTAAGGATGATGAAAAATATAGTGAGGTGGAAACTGCAATTGGGAAATATTCTCAAACAAATACAGACCTTGATTCCATGATCAATCAATGTTCAAAAAAGAATGTAGACCTTAATGCTTTAGTTAAAGAATATGCAAAAAGGAATTCTGATATAATGACACTGATTAGTGAATATTCCCAAAATAATGTTGATATTCAATCGGTTATTGGTGAATATGCTAAAGGAAATCTCAAATTAGAGACAATAATTGATGAGTATTCACATACAAATGCCAAAATCAAGACTATGGTTGATGAATATTCAGTAAATAATAGTAATGTAGAAAAAATTATTGATAAAAATAATCGAAAACAGTTATTAGTTGATAAATATAATGTGGAATCAGCAGCTGGAAAAGCTGTGGATGCAGATTGTACAAAAAAAGTTGAAATTTCTGGTGTTATTTGTGAATCCCCAAACTCAGACAATAGAGAAACTAATATTGAATCAACTCATAAATTAGTTGATAAATCAGCCAGTGAAGAAGATAAAAGAGATTTAGGAAATTAAGTTTTCTGTTTAGAAAAGTTGAAGTTTTTGACATAAAATAGATACTCATTAACTAAATAATAATTTAACACTAGTTTAAAAATAAAATTGTTATGACGAACATGATTTTGACTGGAGCTAAACTATTAACAATAAAACGTTATAGTTTCTATCATAAATAGGCGCTAGAAAATTTATCAGTTACAATAGAACAAAAATTAATCATACTCTGGTGTAAACCTTCAAATATAAAATTAATAATTAATTGCCCATTCACTTAAAATAACAGTATGTTTGAATATTAAAACTTTAAAATAAATAAACCTTACATTTAATAACAAAAGTTGCAGTTCAATATGTGATAAAGTATTCTTCCATAGTAGGTTAGGTTATTTAGATTATATTCACTATTTTATATTTAAAATTAAAATATTAATCATTTAATAGTTTTTAAACTCAAAAATAAAATTTGCTGATTTTTAAAAATATTGGTGCAATTTCGTTTTGATATATTATTAAATAGAATAATTAATTGGAATTTACCAAGATCATATAAAAATTAATAAAACATATAGCAATAAATATAATTAATTATACCTAGACCTAGAGTTTATAATAGTTATAGCTTAATGATATATAAACTTTAAAGCAATATTTGATGCCTTAATCACTGTAATATTAAATATTATTTTAATATACATACATAAATAAATTATTCAAATTTTTAAGTCTTATTAATATTAGTACCTATTATTCAATCAAATACAATAATAGGTTTAATATAATTATTTAGTGTTGTTCTAACTTAAGAATAATTGTACAGTATTATTGATATGTAAACTAATATTTTATTCTGTAATGTGTTCTTTATATTATTATATTATTTTCAATTTCAAAATTTATAATCATACAGTAATCACATTAAACATATCTACATAACGGACACTTTAGATGGTCCCTTAAATGTTTCTTATAGGCAAGTTTAACTATATATATATATAAATAAAAATAAATATTTAAATAATTAATCACTGTAAACATCAATTATTATATCCAAAAAAATATTTATTAATTTTTTTTAATTCAATAAATCATAACTATTCTATCTTTTGTGATCAATACTTTGTCAATAAATAAAAAAATCATATTAGCATCTAGAACTTTTAAGTTTTAAAGTTTAATTATAATTAAATTAAACTATTGTTTAACTTTTTAAGTTATTTTTTTATCATTACTTTGCACTCACAGTATTATTAATTCACGAAGTATTAGTAACTTTAAAGTTTTAGTTTTTTGCTTTTTTTTTTTTTTAATAAAAGCAAATCATCTAGTAATATGTGTTCTGTTATTACTAGACCTTTCCTAATGTTCTTTAGTGTTTAACATTAAATACAATATTGTATTATATTATAATCAATTATTATTGTTTAAAACAAAAAAAAAAAACCAATTCCATTCTACTGCTGATAGTTATAAAATATAAAATATTAAGTTAATATTTTAATATGTTTGAAGTGTTTTTAATAGGATGTTATACCCGCTAATATGTTGTCTCCATGTTACAAGTGCGTAACATGGCAATTTTTACGGCTGATCAAGTTTAACTCCATAAGTTTAAAATTGAGGGAATTGACCTCTTATGAAAATTAAAGGTAACATTATTATCAAGGGCTTCTCATAGGTTTCTCATAGGCTTTTTATTATATTTTAATTTTAAAGTGAGTTATGAGTATTTTAATATACAAAAACAATTTACGATTTAAAAATATTCATCTCGCTTTAAAATTAAAACATATTATAAACCCCATGAGACGCCCTAGATAATAATCTTGCCTTTAATTTTTATGATAGGTCAATCCACTCTTCATTTTAAACTAACAGAGCTACATGTGCTCGGTTAAGCGTAAAAATTGCTATATTACACACTTGTAACGGCTGAGGCGGTTTGAGTATACTGTTTTTGGTGCACTGCACCGCCAATGTTAGGAGGGTGGGTGGTCTTGGTTGAGCATCTGCTGACCGCAATGTTTAATTTTAGTGTTCAATAAATGAAAAAAATAATAAAGTACCTAATCAATGACATATAATAAATGATAATCGTGGCTGAAACTGTTGAAAGCGTCGAGTCAAGAATATAAGGGCCTTATAATTATAAACTATAAACTTATTAAAAAATATTTATTTGTAATCTCTATTATGATGTTGGGGGGGTTGGGTGTCTATATATTGTCTTGCACCACCAAGTATAATACATTCAAACCGCCTCTGTAAGACGGTAACAAAACATGCGGGTATAACGTCCTTTATGCTGCATTTGATTAAAAATATACAAGACAGATATTTGACGATAGGGTGATATTGCTAATTTATTTATGCAATGTATATTGATTTTATAATAAAACAGAAGTGKATGGGTAGGTGGCTACTGTCTCTAGGTTTTGTATTGCGAAGAAATATTTTAAAAGAGAACCACCAAAAGAAACACAATTTTTGTCACTTCGCTCATATTACACCGCTTATACACTTKTCACTTAAAACTAGAATACCCATGAAAATAATGAAATTAATAAATTATAACAATGACATAATAAATCATCATCGGTATTTTTATTTTATATCAATATATTAGTTTACTTTTACAAGCGACTGACAATTATTTTATTTGGTTCTACACTGTTATCAAAATGTCAACCCTTTTGCAGTTGGTATCTTTAAAGCTCTAATCAAACTTTCTAGTAGATCTTGTGAAAAGGTGTATAGGCATAGGTACTCCTTAAACAATAAATATTTAATTTTTATATTTTAGTTTCGGTAAACCACAATCGCAGTTACTTGAGTGCCTAGCTGAAATAGTTAGGACTTAATAGACCTAAATAGTGTGACGTCACAATTTGCTATGATAACATGCATGGTTCCAAACAAACTGTTATCACAAATTTCCCCATAAGATATGAACGGCAACTTTGAACCAACACTTTAAACATAATATATTTTAGTTCTTAAATACACTTTCTTAGTCCTTTTGTCTATCTTGTTGATTAGAACACGTTTTTAAATTATATATTTTCTCGTAATTATATATCTCGTTTCGTAAGGTATAACCGAGCGAAAATGTCTTCTGCTTTCAAGTTCCATAGAATAGTTGAATTTACAATCATTTTGAAAGTGGTAATGTTCTTACCTGTAATTTTGTTCTGGGCGTTTTAACTAGTAGTGTTCATTCTAGCATGAAAAAAAAAAATTAATCATGTTGAGGTAATTTATACAAATACCTAATTAAAAAAATCTTTTAAATTTAGATTGATTCAAAGTACTTTTACATTTTTAGATCCACCTTAATAATGAAATTAAATTAAATTACTAATTATTAGGCACAGTTTCCATTAGTTTATTGAATAATATTTCATGAAGTAAGATTATAAATGTCAGAATAATATTACTAACGGTTGATTTACTTGTATTGAATCTAATAGCTAGATCTTTGTTGACCAAATTTAATCTTAATTTAAGAAAAGTGATTAAAATTTGATCTTWAATTGRAAAACATTCCACTTTCCAACCATTATAGTATTCAAATTCTACAACTTCACATAAGTGAACAATAATGTCAAACATCTCTTTAGAAATACCAGTATAAAAAGTAAAAATATCCTCATTTTCACAGATAGAGTGATAGCCAAATTTCTGATTTTTTAACTGCTGGTTTTTCTATTTCTAAACTTTCAATTTTTTGATTCAAGAAATATATTTCAGCGTCAGCCAGTTCATTATTATGATAAGTATTTGATACATTTGCATCACCATCACAATTAACATCATTGTCATTGTTCATTTCATTACTCAAAAAAATCTTCCTTTTCCTATTAACACAAATATTTTTCATGTTCAAAAAGAAAAATCTTAAATTTAAATCGATGATATAACACTGATTTGAATAGATAAATAAATAAATATGCATACATGAATTTATAAATATAGATGATTTATTTATTTATCTATTTAAATCAGTGTTATATAATCAATTTATAGAAAAAAATTAAGGTACAGGAGATGATCACTTGGCACTTCAGGAAAATGAACACGAAAAAATACTTTTCAAGTGAGTTATGGGTATAAACTGACAATATTCTATCGAAATTAGAGAATGAAAATTTGCCATGCCGCACATGTGTAAGACAGAGACAGCATATGTGGTTGCGACGTCTTCTTAAATTGTAATAATATATAGAACATTGTGTATGAGTACATGAAATTTATAATTACCTAACCTATTAATGATTGGTCATGTTTATGAGGCAGGTATAGTGTAAACTAATGCTATCCAATACAAGAATACATTTTTATTTTTTCTGGAGATTCAAAAATTGATGGACCATTCTCTTTCAATTTATTTTTGAAATGACAAGAACATAATCTGCTATTAGCGGTTGGTGTGGAATCAGCTCTCCTTAAATACATTTTACTGTTATAAGTCGGGTCATTAAGTGTTTGACGATGAAATTATAAAAACAGACCAATGCAATACGTCTTCCATTTTTGACTTACTGTACTATGGGAACATTTTTCCTCATTACTTGTGTTTGTGATCGTCGAAAATGATAATCAATCGTCGCCTAAGGTTATTCTTATACAAAGCGCGAGTCAGGGTATGGTAAAATTAAAATAACGTACCTAAACCTATTGCTGCACAGTCGCTCAGAGGTTATCCAAAAGTGAAAATTGTATGGATATTTTAAAGCTCATACAAACTAATACGTATAGGTAATATAAGTATAATGTACTGTGGACATAAATTTATATAATATATTATAGCATAAAACGTTTCGTAAAAATATATTTWAAAAAAAAAAATGTACAGTATAGGTTGTGTTTGATCGGCTACAGAGTATAATAATATTATGTTGTGTGTTAGTGCTTTTCACATTTTGGCAATTCCGAAAAAAATCGGTTCCGTTCATATACTACCTAATACCTATACTATTATACATTTATACCAGGAAATCAATATTCCGAATAGAAGGCGCCTTTGTAATGCGTCGAGAAGTTTGTACTTTGCATAATATAATATTAACATATACTATTGTAATAATATAGACAATAGGCGTGGACGTGCGGACAAGACTGGTGTACACTGCACAAAGTATTTTTAGACGTTTGCGCATATAAATAGGTGTCCTGTTAGGCATTATAGGGACAGTTTCATATTTTTCAGGGGGCATGCAAATATTAGGTAAGTCCCAAAACATAATCCTTTTTAGAGAAAAATGTATAAATATAGGTAGATATAAGTACAATTAATGTTCACTGCTTAAATTATTGTTAATAATTACAATATCCATTACCTATATACAAAATGTTACCTGACAACTTGACGAGAATAATTCGCGCGCCTTTATTAAGATAAGTTTTCTTTTTCTTTTCTTTTTCAACAAGGAAATAAGACGTTGAAAAACTTATTGTTATTTTCTAATAAGAAGCGTATATATTATGTACAAGTAGGTAGCTGTAATTTTAAATACTATAATAAACAATAAATATTTTTAATACAACCATATGTCGATATATAGATATCTATAAGAGCATTTCACTATTTAGGGTCATTTATATTTTCAGGGAATACGTTTTGGCAGCCGCATATCCTGCCGTGATTGAAGTCTGCGCACTTGGCCCGCCTATGCATATTATAATATATTGTTATTTAATAATTTGGGTACTCGTGGAGTAGGTACATCATCTTGGATTTCGTCGTCAAAGTCAAAATCCAATAAAGATTCGGCCACGACCGTTACCACATATTATGATATACCAACTCGGACAATGACTTTATGCTTATATTTTTCTAAGCGTTCATGTCGAAACACTGGTTGTACGTGCCGGTTATGATGTTGTTATTTTCCTGGTTGCTAGGTAAATCCACGCAACACGTGATCTTCGGAGGTTCCACGAAACACTGGTCCGGCAACGGTTTCTTATAAAGCTTCCTGGCCAACGCAGCCAACAACAACATTTCCCATAACATGGTCGAGTTGTATATCACTGTAAACATGAATAGGTAATTGCATTAAGTATAGTCTCATGATTAATTTTTACAGTGTTTGTGGGTCAAAAATTCTATTTTTATCGTACCTAATATAGTAAAGCGATTGTTACCTGTATACCACTCCCTTCCACTCATCTACATTTTGAATACTTATAAATACTAATAAACTATTCGTCTGGAATTTGAATAAAAAATATGAAAAATGCTACCTATAMATCGAGAAAAAAAATAGTAATACAATTTTGTTTTTGCAGACGACTTAAAATAATGTAAAATAAATATTTTCAAACAAAACTTTAAAAGGTTTTGAAATAATAAGTGTCTTACGTTGAATTACCCAGTTCAATCATCTGGTACCTATATATTGTATGATTCCTGGACGAAAAGTCCGGGGACAAAAAGTCCGGTATGGAAATAGTTGGACAAAAAGTCTGGATTCATTTTTTGATTGCCGGACAAAAAGTCCGAACACATTTTTAATGTCGGACAAAAATTCCGAAAATACAAAATTGTCTATTCAATTTTCATTTAAAATTATAATGTACCTTATATTATATAATATTATTATGTAGGTATATATAGTACATAACACATGCAATATTATATACTACGAGTATATTATATAGTCAGTTCATATATAATTATTATTTATTTAAAAAATGTAATTGTGATACTTTTATTACATTATTATATCATTGTACCTACTTTTTTTTTCTTATTACTTATACCTAAAAAAAATATTACGGAAATCCGCTATAGTTTGGTAGGTAAGTCTATATGGATCTAATGTTTATCGCAGCCGTACGTCTTCAGTTTATCTACCATAATATCATACCTACAAATTACAATCTACATGCTACAATAGCGTTATTACCACG